TATATATATATATATATGTATACGTATGTAGCACTAAATGGCCTGTAGATATAATAGCCGTATAATACTATCATCAGTGGTGCATAGATAGTTTTATTCCTTTTTTAATTCTATTCTTATAAGAACGAAATATTTGAAATGGGTATCAAAAATATTGCGAAGCTTATAAAGCATGATGCGTACAACACACATTTTAAAGCCCTTTCATTTTTTCATAAAAGTCTATTAAAGAAGTTTACTTTCATTTCGGAGATCAGATATTCAGTATAATATTTACGAAGCTATTATACTGAATCGACTGAAATAGATGGAAACGGAATAAGATATAAAAAAAGATTAAGGAAGGGAGAAGAAAAAAAAGGAGCAAGATGCTTTCGAAATCATTTAGTTGAAAACTTTTGGTTTTTTCTCAAAGAAAACTTGAAAGAGTGGAAAACACAAACTCTTATAGGAAATGTTCTTTAACCATTTTATGAGATTCTAAAAAGATTTTCGAATAAAATGAATATAAAAAAATAGCGCCTCCCATTTCCCCAGGAAAAAAACCGTACTTTAGAAAAACGCATTAAGTTATAAAACGTTCCGGTTTCGACGCAAGTTTTTTTTTCCACCAATGCTCAAGACTTAAAGTATAGAGCCTTAAATTTCTAGCCACATACACTACACTCATATTTTATCGCTATGTACTTCAAGTACATCATGATACGTTCTGATTTTCTTTTGAAACCATTTTCATCACTGAGGAAGAAGAATCTTTCGAACTTTTCATTTACTTGGCGGCAAAAAACTGACGCATGATGCAGAATTTCTTGGTTTTGGTGAAAGTTTTTATTTCTTCGGTGACTGAGTTTCTCGAAGAAGAAAAATGCATTACGAAGTTCCTCTTTTTACCATCTCTAATTTACTTCAAGTTTATTACAGAGAAAAATCGGATGTATGGCGATAAAGAGTACTTATTTAAAGTTTTTTTTCTATTTTTTTTCTAGAAAAAGCTTTAAAAAATACTTGCATTTATTTTTAGTTTCTCAATTTATTCCAATGTAGTTTTGCATTTTCTAATTTTGGTTTTAGTAGAAAAAAGTTTGCATTGAAATGCAAATTTAGTTTGCGGATTACTATAAAAAATTATACCGTATATAGAATAAAAATTTCGCTAAACATT